TTAGTGCTACCAACTATGCTAATGCAAATGATATTTAACTGATTTGTTGTGAGTGGTTGAACATTTTGAATGATGTACGTCATTTTTGTCTCTGTTGTAGCTAGCTATCATTCTGTTTTTGCACACAAATTCATGAAGGAGCACGAGTAGCACAAGAGAGAATAGGAGTTGTTATGGTGTGCTCTAATAAGAGATGGGGCACCATTTGCAACAGCAACACACGAGCTAAACTACGCACTGTGTGCTGGGAGCTGGGGTATAGTGGCAGTGAGCAGTACTCTCAGGCTATAGTAAAGCGTCTTGTCAATTTACATTGCAGGATTCAGATACTACTACTACTACTACTACTACAATAGTGATGTGTTTAGTAGACTGCCAGTGCGTCTTGCATCTTTATCCTGTCCTGACGAACAGAGTCGTATTTTTGACTGCCCTTACTGTGAAAGCAACAACTCGCAAACATGTTCTGATCTCTTCTTCAATGTTTATTGCTATCCAGGTAAAATTATCACTTCTTCCTTCTTCTTTGCTTACGCTTGAAGATGCAGTGCATACTTGTCTCCATTTTTAAATCACAGCATACTGTGCAGATGGGCAAGTGAGACTGGTGGATGGAGCCACGGATGTGGAGGGAAGGGTTGAGATTTGCTTCAGTAGGAGATGGGGGACCATCAGTGGTGATGGGTGGACTCAGACAGAGTCCACTGTCGTCTGTAATGACCTCGGATATGAACCATCAGATGGTACATAGTTGATTTTAGAGAATGCAGTTTTATGTTGCTTGTCATGTGCAGGCAATGACTATTCAGTGAGACCAGCCACAAACTCAATGCCAGTGTTCATAAAGAACGTCAGATGTATATACTGGTAGAGAGATGAGTCTTTTGGAGTGTGGCTATATAGAAGAAATCTTACTCATAATGACCACTTTGAAGATGTTGAGGTTCAATGCAAAAAACGTGAGAAATACCGCTGTAAAAGTTCTTTTTATATACACATAAACTATGATACATAATATTATTATGAATACAGCTGACTGTGCTGATGGGGATCTAAAGGTGCTAGGTGGTGGCTCAAAAAAAGATGGAGCATTGCAAATGTGTTTTGATCAGAGATGGGGCACTGTCAGTGGAGATAGAGGACAGCGTAGACACTCAAGTTGTTTGTAGACAACTTGGGTTCAACAGCACTGGTGTGTGAAAGTTTTTGTCATTCAACAGTATCACTTGTTAGCTACCTGGTTCACACAATATTGCTTATTAATCCTCGGCACGCATGGACAGCAAGGGTTACGGTACTTGGTTTGTAAGTCCGTCTGTCCGTCTGTCTTTCCGCACTTCTTAAAACAATAAGTGCAACAGTTAGAGCTCATGTGTCTAAACTTCTTTATTCACAGAGAGGCATTACAAGACTACAGCAACATATGCTCTCTCCACTCCAATATACATGGACAAGTGGCTGCCATGGGAAACTGAAGCTAAACTCACCGACTGTGCCTATCACAGAGACACCAGTGAGATCGTCACTCCGGAGACATTTGGATGAGTGTGACCCTGCTAGCGATCTGGGCTGAAATCGAAAGCGTTGATTCAAAAAAGTGGGTAGAGGAAATAACGACACGTTGGAGAAGGGATCACAAGATGGACTTGCCGTGGCTTTGGTAGCTCTTATTATTTCCCTCCTGGTGACATTGGCTCTTGTTGGGTATATAATATTCATCAAAAAAGGACTATTCAAGCACATACGGTAGGTGAGGGCTTTACTATGTTATAGTTATTTTGTGATGCCTTATTCTAGTAGGATCCACTATCACAAATCTTCCCGTGGCAAAGATGATGCAAGTGTTATGATAGACGATGATGAGTCTGATTCACGAGTATATGTGGAGTCTAAAATAACACACAGTTAATGAAAGATCAACAGCTGAACATGGATATATTATAGCTAATACAGCATGAGTGACTGCGTGTGATTGTCGTTGTAGTTAGACGATATATATAGCGAAATCGTATCTTTCCTAAACATCCGGTGCCGAAGTATTGACCGCAACGTATCTAGTACGCATGCGCGATTCGGTGCAAGACTGATTATTACCGGACGGTATTCGTCACATTGTTACAGTTTATGCTCGAGTGCCTAGGAGCATCATGGTTTATCTCGCTCTGCTGCTTCTTTGTCTCGAAGGAGCTCTTCCACGTACGGCAGGTAAGCGTTCAGCGCGCGCGTCACAGGCTGCCTTTACCGAGCTTTCACTCGCAACCCTTGCATGTATATACACAAGCTGCTCAGTTCAGAAGTGGTGATGTGCGTCTGGTCGGTGGCTCCTATCAGTGGGAGGGACGAGTCGAAATATTCTTCAACAGATCATGGGGCACTATCACTGACTCTGACTGGACCAGTGAAGATACACAGGCTGTCTGTCGCACCATGGGATACTTCAGACCTGGTGAGATTTACGGCAACAATAATATATAAAAGCTGTGCATCTGAATCAGTTATACTACAAGAGAAGCTACAAAACATCACTACCACTACGGTGGCCGATAGGTGCCATGCCGATTTCCATTCCTTTTTCCATTCACACTTCTGTTTTCCATTCCAAATTCTGTTTTTCGTTCCACATTCCGTGTTTATCACCGCGGCCTGTTCCCCATGCGCTAGCGAAGGGAGGACGAGTGAAGTGTGCTCGCCAATTACAATCGCTGCTACACGCTGGGAGCGAACTTGGACCGCCAGGGAGATCCTAGCCTCCTTCCCATGCCCCGAAAAAGGCCTACGAGGCTACGATCGTACACACGGCGTCACTCACTGCTAACCGCGCCCGCGACCGCGGCGCGGCGCTGCTGTTGTCATGATTGGTAAAGCCCGCTCGAGCGCACAGGGTTTAGGGTAAGGGTATATAGTAGTATGCTAACTCCCGCCTGCCTTGGTATGCATTCGAGACGCTAGCCACTCAGCTTTGTTGTGTGAGTCTCAGGCAACTTTATGTATGCTTGACAGGTAGCTGTGATGTGTCCATTAGATATAATAGCTACCTCTTCTATTTTTGGGCCGATGACAAAAGACTATTGTCTCGTGTAATTAAGTTATGTTGGCCTGTACACAGACCCCAGAAAGTATCGATTAAAACTGGCATCTACAGAGTAACGCTATAGGTAGGCTATCTTAGTGGACAAGTAACTCTGAAAACGAGAGACACTCTGAGATCTGTGCCTCCAACCTAACGGATCTATCCGTATAGCTAAATACAGTTTTTGTTCTAAATGCGGGTCACGGATTATGCCTCTAATTACACGGATTTACGGTAAGGCGCGTGCTGCAGTTCCAAGATGGCCAACTCGAGTAGTATAGCACAGAGGAGAGCACCATGTCAACAGCTGCTAGCGGTTTAAGTGCTGCCGGGGATGAGACACAGAGTTCAAGTGAGCTTGAAACTGAATCAGAACGCTGCGAAAAGAGACTGCTCTCATCGAAGAAACAGCGGCAAGTCCTCTGTAAGAGGGGGAGGAAAATTCAAGTCCAGCTGACCACCACACCTCGTGCGCCAAACACTGCACAAGACAAAGAAACTTATCTTATGTTAGACAGTCATAATTAATCTTTTTATCATGTGTTTTTTTGGGATTTTGAAACCAACACCAAAATACTTATATGCCCAAAAGTTTTTACTGATGTGAAATTATAATGGTTGGAGGAACTGTGAGGTATATACCGTGCATGCAAACTTGTTTGGGGGTGTTATAACTACTACCTTACTTAACGTTTTTAACAGTTCCGCCCATTGCTCTGGGTGCGTGGTCAATGGCCCTAGTGCTATGGCAGTATTATTGTTATCTCCTAAATAAACAGTACACAGGTATAGTTGACATCTGTGTCTTGTTTGCTTTATGCTTGTTTCTGTGGTTAATAACAACTTGCAGGGTCTGTAAAATATACTGGAGCATACTTTGGGCAAGGGAGTGGCCCTATACACTATGACCACATTGTGTGCTCTGGCATGGAATACAACTTGACTGACTGTGAGACAGGGACAGGAACAAGACAGAGCAGCCATGACGAGGATGTGGGAGTCAAATGCAACACAAGTAAGTTGTCCAAATATTCAGTTCACCATCCATGAGATCTTGTGGCGGATTTCAGTTGATGACAATTATCGCAACGGTGAAATTCGTCTGGTGGGAGGACCTCACAACTGGGAGGGTAGAGTGGAGATATTCTGGAATGGAATATGGGGAACCATCAGTGATGCTGACTGGGGTATGTCAGAAGCTCAAGTTGTGTGTAAACAACTTCAACTACCTTCGGAAGGTAATCCGAAATGTTAAAACCAAACTTATTTGTCAGTGTGAGTTCTCCAGGTTCAGTGCCATCCCCCTATGGTCAAGGCAGCGGTGTCATTAGGATAACATCAGTCACCTGCTCCGGATCTGAAGATAATATTACACAATGTTCCCTGTCAATGGGGTCCTCATCAAACCATCAGAATGACGTGGGAGTCAAATGTGGAAAAGGTTACACTTGATGCAATTACCAATGAATAAGATATAGCTACCATGTGTCATGAGTGTAAAACATGACCTTTTTGTGTTAGCTAGTTATCTCTATTATAATCGCTTTTTAAGACACAAACATTTCACATACGGTAATGTGCAGAGGTAGCACAAGCTGTGTTGAGTCAGCCCAGTTAATGTTCTTTCCCCGAAGCAAAAACAACAATTTTACACAGTAGTCAGCCGCTACGATGTTTGTTCCGCTTGCCACTTTCCCTGAGAAATCCATGTTTAAGACCTCCAGCAACTTACTACGTGTCATAGTTATAGTAACACACGCAAATGCCTTGCACACAACACCAGCTCTATATAGACTAAGTATTATACTTCCAACCTTTCACGTGGGCACTCTTCCTTCCAACATCTTTACCTCTTCAAATGTGTTGTGGGTCATGATTTAAACTTGCCAGGTTTTTTTGTAGGTACAAAAGTCTGAGACAAAATTATATGCATGCACACTAGTTATTCAATGACTGTTACATACGAGAATGGAACTGAAAGTCACATAATAAACAATTACACATTTGCAAAATAAAGTTTAGGGTATAATATAGAGTGCTGAATATAAAATAATGTGTCTGTAGGTGCTGACGACAAGCATGGAGATATTCGTCTGGTGGGAGGATCCTATAGCTGGGAGGGGAGAGTGGAGATATACCTCGATGGAGAATGGGGTACCATCACTGACGATGACGCCGATGATGTTGATGCTCATGTAGTTTGCAGACAACTTGGTTACGATACACACTGTGAGTTGGTCAGGATTTTGTTTTCATGGAGTGGTTGGATACATGGGTGAGTGTAACAAGTTTGGACAATGTGAATAGGGGATATCATGTAAATAGTTAGCTACCCATTATATAGCATGAAGGTTGCACATCAATATGTGGGGGGAAGCTGTAGTACCGTCAGATCTTGGACCATAGCTAGATCAAGAATGAGAGCTGTTGCACAAGTTGTTGTGGCCACTCAGAACAAGGCTACTCTACCATTTTCTCCCTAGCCCCAATTATGCTTCAGCATATAAAATTTCATAGCTGCACATGATTACTCCTCCCATGATACAATATCTGTGATCTGTAGATGGTTTTGACAGAAGCTACTATCTGGCTCATTTCGGAGAAGGAGTTGGAACGATACATCTCAACCTCTTGGGCTGCTCTGGCACTGAATACCGACTGATTGAATGTTACAGTGTCTCTAGTTCATGGGCTCACAATGAGGATTGGAGTGTTTCATGTCTTAATGGTACATACATACAGTGGTTAATTACATGTATGCTCTTACTTAATGAATGTGTGACTGGTTTCTATGCCATCGTGTACAGAAGCTATAGCTGCCTTTGCTTTGTGTCATGTATTGCAGTCTTTGAGCCCCTCTGGTATAGCTCAGTGTTTGAAGGTCAAGCTTTGTAAGAAGTGTTATGTGTCACTTTGCCCCATACCCACAGGGCACAACACAGGTCCAAAATACAACACCATACATTGACATTTAACTTTGCCTTTTAGATGTTCCTGAACAAGGAGAAGTGAAGCTCTTCTACAGCAGTTATTATAGTTACTACTACAGGGGTCTGCTTCAGGTATGGCTGAATGGGAGATGGGGAGTGGTGTCTGATACAGCGTGGACAATTGAAGACACAAATGCTGTGTGTCGCCAGCTTGGAAGGAATGGTAAAGACTGTATCAACATGAACTACCCTTATGGAAAAATACATAAGATCTTATAGAATATTACAGTATCATATAAGAAAGTGGAGTTTCTTATAAGAATAGTGATATCTGTGTAAGAACTTTTTATCACTGTAAGATCTTATAAGTTTCTTGCAAGAAACACCCCATGATATAAGATTAGTAGAGTTTCTTGCAAGAAAGTTACAATGTTATGAAATTTCTTGCAAGAAATAATATTTACATAAGATCAAACTTTCATGCAAGATCTAAAGTTTTCTGCAAGAACACCCCCATGATATAAGATTAGTAGAGTTTCTGCAAGAAAGTTACAAATGTTCGACATTCTTGCAAGAAAAATTATTACATAAGATCAAATTTTTCACTGCAAGATCTTATAAGTTTCTTGCAAGAAACACCCCATGATATAAGATTAGTAGAGTTTCTTGCAAGAAAGTTACAATGTTATGAAATTTCTTGCAAGAAATAATTATTTACATAAGATCAAACTTTTCACTGCAAGATCTTATAAGTTTCTTGCAAGAAACACCCCATGATATAAGATTAGTATAGTTTCTTGCAAGAAAGTTACAATGTTACGAAATTTCTTGCAAGAAATAATTATTTACATAAGATCAAACTTTTCACTGCAAGATCTTATAAGTTTGTTGCAAGAAACATCCCATCTGTAGAATCTTATAGAGTTTCTTGCAAGAAAATTAGAATGTTATGAAAGGTTCTTGCACGAAATAATTATTACATAAGATGGAACTTATCACTGCAAGATCTTATAACTTTCTTGCAAGAGAATCTTAAAAAAAGGTTTCTTACAAGAAATGATTCAGAATCTTGTGAAGTTTCTTGCTGCCGCAATTGACTGCATGATTACCAGAGTGCATGTTATACTTTGACCATAATGTAAGATCATATCCAATCATGTATATACAATATTATAGCTAATTAATCAGTTTCAATGAAGTTAGGAATTCTACACAGATATGTTTGATGTAGTGGAATCAATACACATTTTCTGCTTATATCTGTTACTTCTTTTAAAATTACTCTCTCTTCCTTTGTTACGGGGAATACAAACTCTTCAAGTTTTTTACAGGAGAAGGAAGGATTCTGCTTAATGAATGGCGAGACGACTGCCATGACTTTTTCTGTTTTGTCCACAAAGTAATACTTTATTTCCCCATAACTTCCATCAGTAAACTGCACCACACAACTGTTTCTTTTCTGGACTTTTTGATACCTGCATAATATTATTATGTAAACCCATATGTAAACTCACATGTAAGCCTATTATCCTACATGTTTTGCCTTATCGGGTTTAAACCTGCCTATTATAGCACAACAGCATCATAGTTCAAAATAAGAACTAATTGCACTCTATAATCACCTAGTACTCATGTAAATCTCTCCTTTCAACCACACCCTTGTAAACACTTGTCCCTCTTCTTCCCTCAGGCCACATCCTATCTCTGTGATCTGCTCTGACCTCATTGCTCCAATGCAATAGCATTTTCCATTTAATTTTTTCCAGTTACTATGATAAAAATGAAGCATATGTTTGCACTGTATATCAATTCCACTAACCGGTGCTCATGATCTTTATTATTGAGCTGACACAACATCCGCTGAGCTTCTTCAGGAGCATCATTTGTAAGTTGGGCCCCATCATTAGCTTTTAATAGCTCCCAGTTGGTGATGACCTTGAAGATAATTTTACCGAAATCAAACACGCAAAAGTATTACAATACACTAATCACCTGTTGCAAAACATGTTGAGTTCCATTATGAAGCCTTAAGAGCTTTCCGTTCATTGATTCAAAAGGAAAGCATGAATGTGTCCACAAAGGTCCGTAGAGAGCAACGTAGTGTGTGAGGTGCCTCAGGAGGTGCACATTGATAGTGCAAGTATGAGTTCCTGCATGATTCAAGAAACCATTCTGTACCTGCCCAGCAAAATGTGATTGTAACTAACCATACAGCCTTTCAAAGTCGCGGCAAAATATTTCCAGCATATCTTTGGTAGACAGAAGATCATCTTCAGCTATTGAGTCACTTAACAATGTATGCATACTGCATGCTAAGTGCTGCAGATGTTGATGAAAAGGTGCTGGAAGGATTCCATCTAATACTGGAATACAGTAAAAAAGAAGCCATGCTCTGTACTCCGATGCTGCATTGAGAAAGTATGCATGGAAATGTAATGTTTGTGCTTCTATGGAGCAGTAGGCATTACTTTTTACCTTTCCACTTGCTGGCTTGATCTAAAGATCTAGGGGTTCGAGTAATTGTATTCGGCGGCTTTATCTCCAACAGCCGAGCATTAACTTCAGCCATTTGTGGTTTAATGTAGTAAGGCTGGCCGACAGCACTGAACCATAAGTTAATCATCTTTTTAACAACTCCCTCCATTACACAATGCATGTAGTCAATGGTTGTCCCATTCACTATGTCATAAGATGGTAAAATGTAGAGGGCAGACAGGCCTTTCACTCCATACATGGGCTGCATAGGCAAAGACAATATTGCAGCTATACATAGGTGTATAGCACAAACTGTGACGAACACACCACACCGAAGTAACCTGCAGTGTTTGTGCCATTATAATGCACACTGTCTTCTGACAGTGTGCATGATATAATTATATACCTCATTTTGAGCTAAAGCCATTTGTCCAAAACGAGAGCACTCCTCATGGTTTCGAATTGGTGCAGGTTGGTCAGTGTACTGATACACTCGTGTACTCCCTCTGCCAACTCTAACCACCATCCCTTCTTCTTTACAAACTGTGCACCCATATCGGCCGTTGTACTGTGTAAAGCTTAGTACTTTAGCTTTTGCAGGGAGGTCTAGCGTTGTACACAGGACCTTTGCTTTACAAGTGGCAGATTGGTGGTCAAGCAGGATTTGCACACCTACATACAACAAGAAAACGTAACAGTTTACCATATGTCGATGATATTTCTTAACCTTCAGTTTCAAGAATTTTGCATCTCTCGAGGATTGGTCTAAGGTACTGGAACAGTGGGGGCTGCTGATCAGAGCACCATAGTCCACCAAGCAACATATACTGCCTCTTAAATCTACGGTATGCATAATATATCCCTCAGAGGTAGATGCATTTTTAGAGAATACCTCAGAGTGGGTGGTAGCTCATTTATAACAAAAAGAACAGGCCACATGGTGCGAGAAGATGAATGAAACACCTGTGCTCCATCGGTATTCATAGTGAGTGTTATATTTGTTGGAATACGAAGAAACCCTCCTGGTGCTAGGAGGTGAGCATAAGCCTTTCCGTCGGAAACATCATGCATACACCCATCATTGGTGCGAGAGAATCGCCCTTGAAGTAGCGAGAAAAATTTCCGGTCTCCTATGGTGTAAAATATAGCACTGCACAGACAGATCCAGCATTAGACACAAACCTTACCTAAAAACATGGCCTGAATTTGGGTGTCAAGTGGCAATTCATAGAAAGAAACTAAATCAGAATGCAGACATCCACCAGCTACTACAATGCTGTCTATCATTTCACCACAGTCCATGCATATCTTGTGCTCTACTGCTGATGAAATAAGATTCATTGATTCACTGTAGCGATGCACAGATTTGTACGATGCTGGCACGCAACCTGGCGGCAAATGTAACCGTACAAGTTGTAGTATATCAGCTAGGGCTGCTTTGGTCAGTCCATGTCTCATAGTCTAAGTAACCTTCCTGTTTCCTCGCTGATCTGTGCTCCAGGGTACAGCAAATTCTCTGTAAGATGCGCATCGGAGGACGTGGGCGTTGGCGACTCGAACGAGGCGGGGCTCGCCGCTGTTGGCTCTCCATCAGCACTCGCAACCGACGGCGAAAACGGCGGGGTCGTCGTAGGTGAAGAGAACGGTACTTCGATTTCTGGTTCACTGTCCTGCGACTCTATATAGTCGTTCTGAGTTACCAGCGGCTCGTTCGCAGGATCATTATCTACTATTATTCCTTTCCGTCGCCAGTTACAGAGAGTTTGTTTGGGAATGGGAAGAGTTGGATCTCGCAAATATCTCTTGTACGGTCCCCGTTTTCTAGGTTCCACTGCCATAGCATTATGTTGTTGTTATTGCGTGCTACAATTATATAACACTTGGAAAATCGTACGATTGCCCTGGCTACAAGCATGCGTGCAGCGCGTGGATGGATTACAGCTGCATTTAGCTTGCTCAGACACAGTGGATCGTGCGTGGTGCAGAGAGAGCAGAATGTCTTCTAGACTCAAAGGAGGTGTTTTGAGTGCGCTTCTAGAGCGTGAACACACGCCGTCAACCGCTACGGCCTGGAGGAAGTTGCATACCGGCAGTAAGTATTGTGGGTAACTGCATGTGGGTGAGAACAAAGGGAAAGGGTCGTTTGCTCAAGTGGGTTTTGTAAACAGTTACGTGTAATAAAGTGCATATTGTTGGGCACACTAGCTGCGGCTTAGTGTGAACTGCGCAGGCGGTGTTCTTGTTCTTGTATGCTCGCGCTGTGGGGTGTAAAGCAGCTGCTAGTCTAGATATTGCTACATTGCATAACAATAGTGTTTTCTTTTTGAAATGGTAACTGTTGAGTACGACAACGGTGAGATAGAAACTGTCAAGCCCTCCAGTTGTGGATTGTTAGATATGTGTTAAAAGCTGTGATGGGGGTAAATACTCAGCAACGCATCATCAAGGTTTTGGAGGTATTATGCAACCACTACTTGTATGTTGAGTGTGTGTCATATTTAATAGATCAATGACAAGCCTCCCAAGAAGAGGAAAAACGTATGTTGCTGTTGTAGGATATAGCCACTGTACATACAATGATCATACTATCCTAGATGGAAAGAAACGGAGGTGTATGCAGAAAAGAAAAGTAATAAATGACAGAAACATCCAAAAGCAATACTTCAAAGCTGTATGTTCAGTATCTGTACATTCACACTTGTTGTTGATTTTTGTAATCCTCTCTCAATAGAAAAATGACTTATGTGAGGAGTTAGACTACGGTAACACGCAAGTGACCAATCAGATTGCGAGTTTAGCGGTGACTATTTTTGTTAGTGACCTCTTCCGTGGTAACTATTTCGTAGCCCTGCGGCACTTTTCTTACGCGTATTGGCCATGGCAACCACGCCTTGAAATCGAGACGCGTGCGAGTGGAAGGCTTCTGGAGAGGTTCTTTCTCACGAAACCCCAGGTACTTCGTCTTCTAGTAGGAAGCGGTGCATGACTACAGGGCCCTAGCTACAGCTCGAGTCAGACGCGCACGCTAGCAGTGCGAGAAGCGCCCAGCGGTCCCGCCTACTTTCGCGTTAGCGAGCCGCGCCACCTAGAACAAACACCCTTGCTGGTATAGTCGTTGTTGTACGCCTGCTCGAACTGGCTTCCAGTTCGTCCTCAGCAAAAAGCTCCGACCCCAGCGTTGTTGTGCGTTGTAGTCTAAGATGGTTAGATGCGTCGCCTTGGGAACTACGCGATGTAGTGAGCCTCGGGGCCCTGGTAGTAGCGCCCTCGCTGCGCTCGGGACGCCGACAGCCCAGGGCCCTCGGCTCACTAAATCGCGTAGTTCCCGCGGCTCAGCATCTAACCTATACTTAGAGAACCCAGCCCCACCTCCCAAAACTATGCAGTGTTGTTGTTTGGTTTCAGCACTGAAATGGACTGAACTGATTCAGAACAATGTACAACCTTTTCGTTTTTATGATGTTGTTAAAACAAGAACAAGTTGTATTATGATTGTGCATGTAACAGCTGGCACCTACCTTCATGTCTCGCTGTCATTATATTGCTGTATATGCTACACCACAGCATTCACCACACTAACCTATTGATTCATTCACACCTTGTTGTCTGTATCGTCACTGCCTAAATGCTCAACCATGCTCTTAAGGGGTGCCGATGATTTTATTTGGAGCTTGTGACTCTGCCACTACTGCGGCGCGACGAAAGCTACATTGGCGTACTTGGCTGAACGCCCACTCGTGATTCCTGAAGTTTACTCGGGCGAACGCCCCTTCGACGCCTGGGCAACTCACTTTGAGAACGTCGCCACTCTGAACTGCTGGACCGCCGTCCAACAACTGCAGTGGTTGGCCGTCTGACTAGTTGGACGTGCACAAATTGCTTTCCGGGGAATGTGCTTTCCACAACCTCGCCGCCGATGTGTGAGAACCGTACGACTCCGCAAGGACGGCCCTACAGTGACGGTTCGAGCCGAAGAGCTGACGAGGACTCTATGCCCATTTCCATGCCAGTCGGAAACAGCCGAAGGAAGACTGGGAGGACCTGAAAATACTGGTTGATAAGGCCTTCCCGGACATTGAAGAACCAGCTTGTGAGCAAATGGCCGTGGATCATTTTCTCGGCCAGCTCGAGGAACCGCAGCTCGTGTTCACTGTGAGGCAGAGACAACTGCAAAACCTCGACGAAGCCGTGACTAGTACCTTGGAACTAACATTCCCTGGCGTTACGGGCCAAGCGTCGGGGGGATAAACCAAGGCCTTCGCTACGCATAATGTTTTTCCACGTACATCCACTTCAGCTTACTATATACATCACAGGAAAACCTTTCGGTGCAGACACGTCTTTTCTACTGGACACCAGAGCCGCCATAAGCAGCCTGCTTCGGAAAAGCACCGTAGACGGATTCCCGCTTACTGTCTATGGCGAGGCGTCACTCCCCGTCAGCTTCGGAGGAAGCAGCAAGTACATGTTGTTCGCAGTAGCTGGCAGATTAACGGTCGAAGCCATATTGGGTTTGGATTTTCTCAACAGGGAACAAATGCACCCTTGATGTAGAAAACCGTATTCTAAAGCTATCGGTCCCATTCCCCTCGCCCTTCAGGAATCCCGTCTGAATTACTACTGGCGGTCTCAGCAACCTCGACCATTAGTCACTCCAACGCCTATGGGGGTCCCTGTCTGATTAATGAACCCAACAACCGAACCAGCAATAGTATATAAGGAACCCACCTCGGCGTACTTCATTGGCATTAGGGCACGGGTCTGTCATCAACCAAGTAACCCCTACACCATCTGAGGTGCCCCCTCCACCTAAGTATAACAACCTGGCCTACAAGGATAATAGGATTTCGGACGGATCATTTGTTTAACCTTCTGCTCTCCTATTCCAACATATTGGCAGAAGACGGCCAAGACGACATGGGACGTACCGACCTTCCCATACACATGATCGACACGGGATTAAAGCCACTGGTACGCCAAGTTCCAAGGCGTATCCACCTGGCACAGCGTGACGACGTGAAACGCCTGACTGACGAGATGTTACAAACGGACACAATTAGGCTGTCACAAAGTCCCTGGGTGTCACCTATGGTATTGATAAAGAAAAAGAATGGGTCTCTCCGTTTTTTTCTTTCTTCAGCGTTTGTAACAAAATCTGATCGAGTTAGTCCTTTGCTATGGAAATTGTGTTGATGGGTAGGTGCTGGTAGTTGGATAGCTGGTTTTGCAAGTTGTCTCCTACCTTCTGTTCCAGTACGGAGACGTCTCTGACTCTTAAGTACTGGTGATCGTGTTGATTTGCAAGGGGATGGGATAGGTGAAGATCGTTCGGGCATATTGAGAATGAAACACTGGTCTGGGAGAGATCGATCTCTTTGTGGCCACCAGTCTGGAAGAGATTGATCTCTCCGTGGCCAGTAGTGTGGGAGACACTGATGTGTCTATGGCCATTGTGTGTGAGTCTCCTTTGCGGCAATGCAGGCAAGGAAAGGGATGGTAACGGCTGTATAACTTGAACAGTTGTGC